TATAAAAATTTATATAAAATTAATTATAATTATTATTGCGTTAAATAAATTTTGTTATTAATATTTAAAAAATTATAATTATTGTTAATATTTAAATTTAAAAAATTAAATTTAATAGTTAAGCAATTTCCAAGAAAGTAAGAGGGTATTATTTTTTTATTTATATTTTAAGTACGTAGAGGTTCATCATGCTTTCATTTCGATAAATATCTCATCTAATGTCACCCTCTTCAACCAAGTGTTAGGAGTCCCATCAAATAAAGGCATTGACCTTGGACTGACCAGATGAGCGTGTTAAGTTGAGTTCGGGTTGAGTCAAGTTAGATAACGAGTTATATATGTTGGGTCGTAAATAAATTTTGGATTAGAAAAGTTCAACCCTAATTATATTATAGTGGGTTACGTGTTAATTGATGAACTAACTTTATTTTTATTTTTATTTTTACAATTATTTTTATTAATTTGATTATATATAAATAAAATTATATATATTTAAATTTAATTAAAGTATTATAACTCATTAATATTAAATACTTTATAGCTCAATCACAAATATTTACATTAAAAAAAATCATAAAATTATAAATAACAGTAAATTGATTAACAATATTAAACTTAAAATATTTAAATTTCTTTTAAAAAAAATTTTTAATTTTATAATCATCTTAAAATATTGTCAAGGAGTTTAAGCTCTTTTTTTAATAATGAAATTACTCTTTCAAAAACATCTTTCACTAAATTCTTATGTTTATGTCCTAATATCACATTTTTTAATATTTTTAATTGCATTATTATTTCATTCATGATATTTGGGTAATTAAATCAAACTCACATAATTTTTAGAGAAAGAAGAAATTATGATAAGTGAACACTCAAAATAAATTCAAAACCATTTGAGTAATAAAAACGAGGTTGAAGAGTATGAATTAATAGAGGAAGTTACGAATAGAAAAATTAATTAAGAATAATAAGTATAATATTTTTAAAAACAATAATAATAAGTAAAACAAATGGGTCTATTCGTTAATTCATAGATTGACTATAACTCAACTTGTAACCTGTACGAGTTGATATTACGGGTTATTAACGGATTACAAATTGAAATATGTAAACCCTAATCGATTTTTACGAATTGAATTAAAGTAGAGTTCACGGGTTGAGTGACATTTGCCACTCTTAATTGACATGGAGTGGGTATTTTATTATGAAGATAAAAATTTTAAAAATATATATAAATTTTTTTATATAATGGGGGTGGACGGATTTTCTTCATAAAATTTTACCAGAATTTTTTTTTCTGCTCTATATATTTCTGTGAGGATTTATATATAATAAACAAAATATATAAATTTATATTTTTATAAATTATAATATGTATTATAAAAACTTAAAACCTAATTTGTTCCAAAGTTATACTATCTTTATACTATTTTTTGTGAATTTATGGGATTGTATTCATTTGTTAGATTGTATATATTTACTAAATCCTTGTATGCATTTATTTATTTTAAATTTCTACTCTTTTTATTTCTTTATGTAATGTTTTTTTATGGTGGTTATAAAATTTTTTACATATATTTCATTTTTACAAGTTTTTATTTTTATATCTTATAAATTACTCTTTATATAATATTATAAAATTTAATTTTTTAAAAAAATTATATTTTATAATTTTAATATTCGACAAAAAAAAAAAATCCGCATGCCTACAAGGAGTTATCATTTTCAGCAGAGACAACAAAGAATGGTATTTTTTTTATTTTCTGTCAGAATTTCCCACAAAATTTCTGTACCTACCATTAACAGGGATAGCGAGGTGGAGGGGTCGCCGCTCCCATGGGATCTATTGACTATTGCCATTTCTATTGCCCCTGTGAAAGGGTTACGTCTAAATTGCCCCTAAGTCCCCGTTGCTAGATAATCATATTGAAAAACGGACTCCATGAATCCATGGATTCATGTTTCGAGGTAATGGAAAACAAGGAACTTTATAACTAAAAATGTCTGTTTTAGGATTCTTTATTACCCTGTTTTTATTCTCCGGGCTCAACTTTACCTTTGAAGCTCAAAACGGACCACTTTACGTCAGCCATTTCTGCTCCAACACCACCACTTTCACGAGAAACAGCACTTACAAAGCCAATCTCGAACGCCTCCTCTCGTCCCTCTGTGCCAACTCTTCCGCCGCGGCCTATGGGTTCTATGATACGACCTGCCGAGAAGACCCCAACAGGTGTACGGTCTCTTCCTCTGCCGCGGTGACGTCTCGACCACTATTTGTCGAAATTGTGTCACTTTTACTACCGGTGACGTGATTCAGCGTCGCCCTGTTGAAAAAGAGGCCATGATTTGGTACGACGAATGTCTCCTCCGCTACTCCAGCGAATTCATTTTCTCCGCCGAGACTGAATCTCCGGAGGTGTCTACGTCGGACGATCAGAATGCCACGGATCCCGGCCGATTTGACGACGTCGTGGCTAGTTCGTTGAATGATGCGACGAATCAGGCTGTGTCGTTGGCTAAAAGGTTTAGCACCAACGAGGCTAATGTTTCTCGGTTGCAAACCTTATACAGCCTGGTTCAGTGCACGCCGGGCCTTTCAAGTCCGGATTGCAATAGGTGTTCCGGGAAGTCATAGCAAGTCTCCCCAGTTGTTGCAGCGGAAGAGTAAGCGGAAGCGTACTAAATCCTAGTTGCAATGTTAGGTACGCTGTTTACCCGTTCTATAATCTGACTGCAGTTGCCAACTCCGGCGCCACCACCACCAGTGGTTACTTCTCCTGGTTCAGTGATCATTCCCAAAGGTAAAGTTGGGCATATAATTTATTGATTAACTGTTGTTTGCGATGATGATTGATATGCCTGTATAGATAGTTTTATAAGTTAGCTTGTTCCTGCAACAAATTATGTTGACCAAAGAAAAAAAAAAAAAAAAATCTTGCTACAAATTAAAGTATGTTATCTAGTGTGTTCATTCTCCATTAATCAAATTTAGAAAAACTGGGTATTAAGTTAATTTTCTTCGGGATCATCCATGACCCTTTTTCCTTTCCTTTTTTTTTTTTTTTTCAATGCAGGAAAATGTCAAAAACCATGGCTAATAAATGTTGCCATTGTTGTCTCAGTTAGTGCCACTATTTGTTTTTCATTGTGGGGTATTGTTCGCTAAGAAGGAGAAGAAGGAAGAAGAACAATCCAGTGCAAGAAGGTAATGGTAAAAACATGACTTTTTGTTTTTTTTTTTTTTTTTAAATCTTGAACCATCTATAAGGTGTCTTGTGGAGTTTGATGTATTTGCTGTCTGGTAATGCAGTTGGGACTGATATAACCTCTATAAGGTCACTGCAGTATGATCTCAACTTCATTGAAGTGGCAACAAACAAGTTTGCAGACGGTAATAAACTAGGTGAAGGTGGATTTGTTGTGGTATACAAGGTAATGTTTGTATTCATGTCTATCAAGTCAGGTTATCCATGCCAAGTCAAAAGAATTCAATTCAGCAATCAGATTCTTTTGATGTTGGGTCTAGTCACTGTTTTACATTTTCAGGGTAGTTTTCTGAATGGAAAAGAAATAGTTGTGAAGAGCCTATCAAAAAGCTCTGGACAAGGTGCAGAAGAATTCAAGAATGAAGTTGTAGTACTAGCCAAGCTTCAGCACCAGAATCTGGTGAAGCTGTTAGGATTTTGCACAGAACGAAAAGAGAAGATGTTTATCTATGAATTTGTTCCCAACAAAAGTCTTGACTTCTTCCTCTTTGGTCTGGCCTTTCTTCACATTTATCTGGATTAAACTGTTCTTTACTTACTTATGGGTATTATTCATAGCTATTTAGCATTACTGCTCTTGTTCAGTTCTTTCACATGTCAATCCAATTGCTAATTGCTGTAAGGTAATATATTCAGATCCTGAGAGAAGTGGAGAATTGGATTGGCCAAGACGTCACAAGATAATTAAGGGGATTGCTCGAGGCCTTCTATATCTTCATACTGATTCAAGGGTCAAGATCATACACTGTGATCTAAAAGCTAGTAATATTTTGTTGGATGAGGATATGGTCCCGAAGATTTCAGATTTTGGCATGGCAAGAATTATTGAAGAAAATCGACCACAAGAACCTACTAAGAGAATTGTTGGCACATAGTAAGTTCTCCATCCCGAAATCTTTCTCCTTTCTTGTTTGATGAAGGCTAACTATAAACTCTTCTTCATTGAACTGCTATCATTCCATATTATAGTGGTTACATATCTCCGGGGTTCACAATGCATGGAAAGTTCTCTGAGAAATCAGATGTGTTTAGCTTTGCTGTATTGATGCTAGAAATTGTATGTGGTAAAATGAACACAGGCTTCTATAACTCTAATCATTCTGAAAACCTTTTAACCCATGTAAGTGCTGGCAAAAAATTTTCTCAATGCTAAATGCTCTCCCTTTTAGACAATAAAGAGCATGTTTTATCTTTCCAAATTTCATGATTTATTGCAGGCATGGAAGCATTGGAAAGGTGGGATGGTATTGGAATTAATGGATCCAACTTTTAAGAGATTCTTATGTGAGTAACGAAGTTACCAGGTGTATTCAGATTGGGTTGCTTTCTGTTCAAGAAAACCCAACTGCAAGACCAACCATGACAAGAGTAGTTACCTTGCTTAGCAGTTCATCTGTTACTCTTCCTGCGCCTCAAAAGAATGCATTTTTCTTTGGCAGTATCACAGGACTACGTAGTGGTTGTGTGGAGCTGGAGCGGGATAGGAATACGGACAAATCAACCTCTTGCTTCGTGGATGATGCATCCATTACTAGAGGATACCCTCGTTAGTATTGGAGCAGCGTTGTCAAAGATGCAAAACTTTGGCAGCAAATGCAATGAAAAATGAGATGCAAATGAGGGCTGCACTTATGAGAGCAAGGGACAGCCAAATGACAGCAGAAGAAGGATAGAACTAATGGCAGCGACATTGTTGCATATGGGCTGCCATACATGGTTGCAATTGTGTTAGATTTAGTCAATGTTTCAGGTAGCGAAAGGCACAATGTTAAGTAGAAAATATTGTTTTTGTATTTTATGGTCTCTGTTTATGGCAGAGGATGAATGAAATATTGGAGCTTCATCTCATTTAAAGAGTGAACTCCAGGTGTCTCTCCTCCTCTCTACTGTTATCTCTTCCCCTTAAAAAATCCATAATAGGTAGTGTACAATTCAATGATGCTTTGAAGTAACACTTAATATTGAAGCTGTTTCCATAGGTTCTACATTGTTTCTATAATTAGTAAATAGTGTCCCTAGGAGACAAGTCGCTCATAAACTCTATCGAGGTTCTAGATCGGAAATTGAGGCTTCGTTCGCTGTGAATTGAGCTGGTGCGCTTGCAGATGCCTCTGGCTTCACAACAGAGAGTGGAACATATGCTGGTTTTGAGGGCACTTCAAGCGATACAGAATTGCTACTAAGCATGAGAACAACAGAGGCCATGGTTGGTCTTCTAGCAGCATTTTCTTGAACACATAGTAAGCCTAGATGGATACATCTCATCATTTCGCTCCTTGAGCTATCCCTCAAAATGGAATCTACAAAATTCAGAGTAGTCCCCTCCATCCAGTTTCTCCATGCCTACATGGATTGAAAAATTGTATATTTTATTTACGTAGAGTCTACACTATTTCTCAAATTCATGCATGATTGTTCAATTATGAAAACATGAGAAATGAAGCTATGGTTACTTATCACCTACATAGGTGAGAAGAGACTCCCCTTCTTCTCCATTACTGAAATAGATTTTTTGACCGCTGATGATTTCCAAAACTAGCACGCCAAAGCTATAAACATCAGATTTAATCGAAAATTTCCCATTCATCGCATATTCTGGAGCCATGTATCCACTGAATGTAATAAGTAGTCAGAGTAAAGATTCATGTATTTTGGACAATATAAAAACTATAACTATAATGTGATTACTATACTTACAATGTTCCAACAATGTTACGTGTATCAGCATGTGTTTCATCCCCTGAAAATAACCTTGCCATTCCGAAGTCTGAAATTTTAGGATTCATTTCTGTATCTAACAAAATGTTGGAAACTTTTAAATCACGATGGATGATTCGATGTTGAGAATCTTCATGAAGGTATAGAATTCCTCTAGCTATTCCTCCTATGATTTTGTATCTTGTGTTCCAATCTAGTTGCAATCGTTTGATTGGATCTACAAATTCAAAAAATTAACAGATTTAAATGCATCAGAGAATACTACTACTGCCAACAACATCAGTTGCACTCAGTTTTCTAACAAACTTAGTTTCAAGTATGTTCAACCCATCCACCACAAACAAAAACAAATAGGAATTAGCTGAAAAGGATGGCAATTAGCAAACCCACCGAATAAGAAGTGATCAAGGCTTGAGTTAGGAATAAGCTCATAGATGAGAAGTCTTTCATTCCCGTCCAAGCAAAAACCTAGGAGCCTAACCAAATTTCTATGTTGAAGTCTTGACATTAACTTGACTTCGTTCATAAATTCTCGTTCTCCTTGTCCAGAATTTATTGAGAGCCTCTTCACGGCTATATCTTGTCCATCCTGAAGCCTACCCTGAAATTGGAACAATATTTAAATAAAAGAATAAGACCAAAACAACTGAGGAATTGATTCAAGAGATGCTTTTTATAATAGAAATTTGTTCGGTTCTAGAAAAGATATTACAATCCATTACAAGGTTTTACCCGTTACCACCCTCTGACAAAATTAAGATTGCTTCTACAAATTCTACTACGGGTATTAACTTTCAACGGAAGAAACTAATTTGCACCAACTCGTATTTACCTTGTAAACAGCCCCAAAACCACCCTGTCCTAGCTTGTTCTTGATTGAGAAGTTATCGGTTGCAACCATTATTGTGGCAAAGTTAAACTGTAGGGACTTGGCACCATTAGCTCCATTACTGTCATCCATGCCTTTTTGGGAAAAATAGAAAAAAGGGTGAATTAGTATATCAACAACAAAATAAAAGGAAATGCATTAATAATCTTTTGGTCATTTCCCATGTGGCTGTAACTTCATAGTTTGTTCACCAACCAAACGTTTTTGTTTTCCCAAGGCGATAAGAAGATTAATCACAGGATTATTTCTTCTTCTTCACCAACCAAACGTTTTTGTTTTCCCAAGGCGATAAGAAGATTAATCACAGGATTATTTCTTCTTCTTCTTCTTCTTCTTCTTCTTCTTCTTCTTCTTCTTCTTCTTCTATGTAATTCTTAGCTTATCCAGGCTATTATAGAACAACACTTACCCTCCATTTCTAGCTTTGGTTCCCGTCTCCTTCGGAAAAGAGCACAAGCGATGGCTACAATTGCTATGGAAGCAATGGTTGAAACAACAAGAGCAATAACAGTTGGAGTATCAATGTCTTTGTTGTCTGCATAAACTGAAATATTTATATGATTTTTTTCAACAAACTTTAAAAATAAATTTCTGAGAAGTACTAGGAATTTTTTGCATCTTTTTCATGTCACGCACAAAGTAACCAGATTCATATTTTGTTCAACATGATATGAAATACATCACTTCCTCCAAGATATGTACTTACCTTTTGGGGTAGTTGTATTAGTTGAATTTGGAATTGCATCCGGAGGAGAAATGCTAGGTGGAGGTGACAGATATTCATAAAAGGGATACAAATCCCATCGGAAGAAACAATTGGGTTTCTGAACAAAACCTCCTTGTTTCCCTTGGCAGCATGTTTGGTAATCACTTACGGATTGCCTCAGGCACAAATCACAATCTCCTTGAGATAGATCTGGAGTACACTGCATTAAGGCATAAATTGTTTGAAAAGATGTCAACTTTGCTTCTCCTGTGGCAAACTTAAGTCTTGACGTTCCAGCAGAAGCTCTTCTCACTATACCGTCCGCTAAATTCTCCCAAATCTGATCAAATTTTGTCAAATTTGTGGTGAGATTATTCACATTATACCCTGAATCAGTGGGAGACAGCTTAAGTATTCCGAAGAAGGAGCGGTTTGCATAGTGTATTATACAGGGAGGATCCCCTCCCCATGAAATTGCTTCCTTCTGGTTTGGACACGTTGAGATAATAACTGGGATTGTGGAATTGACGCAGCTGGAACAAACATCAGGCGAAACATCGGTTCTGCATAGCCCCAAAGTGTAAATCCTGTTAGGTTCTTCTCCAACGATGGCAGTGTAGAAACCACCGTTTTCTGGGATTTTAGAGGGGAGAGAAGAGAGGATGAGTTCGCGGTTCCTCCCATACGTATCATTGGCCGTAAAGTTTCCGCTGTCGTAGCACACCACCGGAGTCCTAGAAGTGGCAAAACTGATGAAAGTTAGCATGCAAAGACAACAAAGGAGAAAAACCACATTTTTAATACCCATTGGAG